GAGTAGCTGCACTGGGGGGCTGAGTGGGGATGGCGGGGAGAGCACTCGCTGCCCTGGAGAAGGGGAGCGCTGGAGCCGTGGGCCGGTCTGGTCCCCACCAACTATCCTGCAGGGAGAAGGAAAAGCGGTGAGTGAGGTCTTGTTGGTGGGGCTAAGCTCGAAGGAAACCCCCACATGTGAAAGAGGGGTAAGGATTGAGCTGGTGTTTCAGGTGTCTTTCAGGTGGTACAGACACCTGAAGTGCAGACACCAAGAGCAGACTCACCTCTGACATCAGCTACGGCTTTCATCCTGATTTTCTGCTTCATGACTCTTTGAAAACCAGGTGTTAAATATATGAAAATCAGAATGCCCTGAGAGCATAAAAATCTACAGAGCCAGGTTAATCAGCTCCCCAGGCATTTCTCCTGGGGAGGTGAATTCCTGCATAGCAAGCATTCCCTAGGACAGTGGGACATACCCCTACAGCCTGCTGCTTGCCAGGGGGGAAAGGGTGATGCCTCAGCCACCACACTGCCCTTCAGCTTCTCCTGCAGCTGGGACTGCACTGTGGAGCTGTGTCAGCTCTGCGGATCCCAGCACCCCCAAACTGCTTTAGTTCAGAGTGGGCTCCAAACAAAGAAGGCAGTGCTGTTTGTTTGCCCTGACCTCTATGTGGGAGTAAACAGCAAACACTTAGGAGAAAAAGGCCTGAGCGTTTTTTGGAGATAGGACTCTGCTATCCTCTGGTAGGAGTCCACGCTGATGTGTGGCCTGCTTGCTGTGGGACTGCTTCTCAAGCTAGCAACCAGTGCCTGAGTTTTGACAACCATACTGCAGTCATGCCAGCCAGCCCAATCCATGGTGGCATTCATCTTTGGCTTAGACACAGCATATTCTAGCCTGTAAGTCAGCTGGAAGGACAACTAGAGTAGGGGCACGGCAGACTGGGGCAGTCAGCCCAATTGCTGACTGCCAGAGGGAGGGCGAACTGGCTATGCTGATGGGAAAAGAGCCACCTCTGTCCTCCCTCTCCTCAAGAGTGAGTCTGGATTTCAATGGCAGTCTGACTCCAGACCACTCAGATGGGGCAGGGATCTTCTTCCTTCCCTTGCCAGAGTCACCAGGGCTTGTTAGAGTTATAAAGGAGCCCTAAGTATTTGCCTTCTGAGCATGCATACTGGGAAGCCAGGCAGACAGCATTGCATTTGTAAAGCTGTGGAATTCATGACTTGGATCACAATTCTAAACTGTGAAAAATTTGTACTCATGTCAAGTGCAAACCTTTGTGGAAGCCAAGGGTGGGACAATTTCTCTGAGAGCTTATTTTTTAATAATAGTTGTTATTATGAACTCTCACTAGGGAGTTCCCTCTCTCACTGGGAGAACTCAAAGCTCCCCAAGCAAAACAGAGCAGTCCTTCCTTTTCTTGAAATACTTGACCAGATAACTGAAAAGCGTTATGGCTTGTTCTGCACTGTCAGGTCACAATCTCTCTTCCTCCCTCCCTCCCTTTCTCTCTCTCTTCACACACACCCCGCAATGACAGAAATACACATATGACCTTGCATACTCCAGAGTCATCCAGCTACCTCTCCTTTCTGAATGGGACTGATTGGTGTTTTCTGTGGGAATATAAATATGAAGTGGGAATAGAGATGTGATCATCAGAAGGCAGTATTTGATGAATTTTCCACTACCTCAAGATGAAGGCAACTGGTTATTTCCAAACCATCCAATGTTGGCTCCCAGAGGGCTCTGAGAAGCCTGCCTTTGTCACTTTGCTAATTCAAAGTGTGCTGATTTTGGCTCGTTGGAATTTGCCCAGGCACCTGTTGGCTGCAAATAGGCTCCAAAGGGTGAGATAAGGCCTTGGCAAGGGACCAGGAGCTATTCTGGACATCTTGTGCAGGGCTCACTCATCCCACTTAATCACAGCTAAAATATGGGGTGAGTACATCAGAAGGCACCGGCGCTTTCCCTGAAGCCAAGGGGAAGACCCTACATGATCAGGCTTTCCTTCTCTGAGCACTGCCCACCTCTGCCCCTGCGTTACAAACTCCAGCAACCAGCGTGGCTCTCCTTCCCCACTGCTCACAGTGCTCTGTCTTTTCAGGGCTGTAAAAGTCACATCTCCCAGCACCCTGCACGAGGGCCTTATGTCCTGAGGGTGACACCTGTTTTGGCAGTAGTGTAGACTAGCTGGGATCTCACACAGCTTTTATGCCTTCGTCTTTATATGATTCATTTACAGCTTGGGCCTCATCCAGCATGCGCTGAGGCACGGGTTAGTTTTAGCACAGGTAGAACCAGGGACATTACTGGGACCGTTTCTGTGCTTAAATGTGAGCCTGGTCTCCAGTATTCTGCTGGACTAAAGACTTTGCCAGAGATATCTCTTCCTGCAAATGAGACTCAGCTACACACCTCTGTGGAAACGGGTTCCTACCTTTTCGGACTGCAATGGACTGTTGTAGTAAATACTCAGGTAATTTTGTCTTAGCTCAATTACCCAATGTGTAGTCAAATCCATTTCTACAGAACAGTTACCTACCCAGAATGAAATGAAGTCTCTGTTAATTGCGGAGGTGAACAGCCCTATGACATCTGCTTGCTTGGAGCCTAAATTGCTCATTCTTTGCAGCGTAGCCCTCACATTGCAAACATTTCCCTCCAGCCTGAGGTGCAGGGGCAGGGAGGTCTGGGGTCACTTCAGCCCCAGGGCCAGGCACTCTGGAGAGCAGCACCGAGACAGTGCAAAACTTTTGGATGGCCACACATTAGCCATGGGGAAGTCCTCTTAGCGCACCATGCTGTATGGAGAAACCTGCCTTCTTTCTGCTAAGCGCAGATAGCTGCTGTGCTGGATGAAGCTGCCCTGCTGCCTGCACTGTCACAGCATCAGCACTTGGGACCAGGTTACCTTTTCACACGGATGTTAAGCATGCCATTGGAGGAGTCGATGATCTGCATGGCAGTTGCATGGGAGAGGCCAGCACATGATTTCCCGTTGATAGATACTAGCACATCATTTTCCCACAGGCCTCCACGGCACGCTTTGCTTCTCTTTCGGATCTGGAAAAGCAGATGAGAGAGGATAAGGATGAAGGGAAGAACAGCAGCTATTTAGTTCAGTTACTTGTCTTCTGCTGGCCCTTCTATTGTCCCGTCCCTGATAGAATAAAACAAGGCTACTGTGCTGCCAGGGTGGAGGACCAGTCCTCTTGGGTGAGCCCTGGCTGTGCCTTTCGGTCTCAGTATTCTTGTTAAGTCCAAGAGTCACTGTGCTGAGCATAGGCCTGACCTGATGACCAACCCAATTCAACTCCCTCAGTGCAGAGGAAATACTCAAGAGCACCTACATGCTCTTCTCCTCTCTTCCTCTGTCTCCTAAGTTGCTTAGGGAGTCTGTGTTTCAGAGAGGGAACAGGAACTTTTTCCAGACTATCCCTGTACATGACTCTGTGTCTTTCTGTATGCTGCTACTGTGCTTCCTTGGTGTGACCTCTTTCACTCACACAGAGCCCATGCAGGTACCATCCTCAGGAAAGCTGACATTGGGAAGTGATGGTGGCTTCAAGGCACTTCCTGCTGTCATTGGCTTTGGCCAATATATTTCTGGACATCCGCATCAGGCCATATGGTGTCCTGTTACACAAGTGTAAACTTGGAGTAGATCTTTAGCCTTAACAGGAGCTGTGCAGGATATGCATTGCTGTGTCTGAGAACGGAGTCTGGGTCTCTAGTTCCAGGCTAGTTCCTAGATCTAGCCTCTCATGGCCATCTTACACCAAGTGTTTCCTCTCCCTTTTGTTCTATCACCCACCAGTTAAACTTCTTACTGAAACCCCCATCCCAGCCTAGCCTTTCTGTTAGGGCAAGCAAGCAAACCAAATGCTCACTCAGCCCAAAACCACAGACCTCTCCCATATAGGCAATGGGATAGTCTTGTAGGACAGCTTGGCACCCATAGTGCACTCCTTTTGCACAAAAAAGAATAGCCAGGCAAAAACACTGGGTCAGGGCAAATCAGGCCCAAGGTAGTAATACGCTGGATTTGTAGATGCTTCTAGAATATTTCTTCAGCTATTGCAGTTAAGTGAGAGACAAATCAGTGCAGAGCTGTTTAACAGAAGGTGCAGTGAACAAACCGCGGCAGATCCCTGCAGAGAGGCAATACACAGCAGGGCACCTTCTCCCACACCTTATAGTCTTGCTGCCCGAGCAACCAGACTCAGCTATAAAATCGCACAAGCTACTTTACCCGCACTCCCATGGCAGCCCCAGGAAAGAGAAGTGGATGTGAGAGGACTGGTGCCCTGCCATTGTTCTCGCAGGGGCAGGAGGGCAGCAGGAAAGGAGAGAGCTGGAGCCCTGAGGAGGTCCAGTGGTATAGCTGGCTGGTCTCAGGGCCCAGGCTCTCCACATGTATGGAGTGTGTGCATGCCTAGGGCTCGGCTCTGCTGGCTCGTGGTGAGCAGGCAAGAGCAGCACTCCTCCCAGGTCAGCCTGTCAGCAGGACTGAGAGATGCTGAGGAAGAAGATGGAAAGGGGAGGGCTATGACCCGAGTTGTTTGTGTGTTCGCTGGCACTTTATCACTCTGTACCCTCTCCAGCTTGACCCCAAATTTTGCCTGCACGCTTAAAATAGGAACTGGCTCATCCCAGCTGCCACATCCATCAGCCTCTGCCGTTTTAGTCCTTTATCTCCCTCCTTGTTAATACAAGCCTGGAATGAGAACGTGTGGGTCTGTAATGAACTACTGCTGAAGAACAACTTTTCTGCTGTTACAGTATAAATGCTGCTTCCTGATACTCCTTCAAGGTGCAGCTGTTAACTGAAAGAGAGAGCAGACACTTTCCAGTGCTGCCTACCGACACAGCAGCTAATGCAGAGTCAGGAAGTTGAAGAGAGGTTAGAAGGAGAATCTCCTTCTGGTATTCCCCAAAAGGCCAACTGCTGCTCCATGGCCAAGTGCTTGGTGCTCAGTACTGGAGGGGAACACACTTGCTGAGTATCTCTCCCAGTTACAGAGTGAGAGGACTGCGGGTTAAAGGCTGTCAGCAGGTGCTCACAGCATTCCTCACATCCCATTGTACTCCTCCATGCTCATAGAAACCAACTGGATGTGGGCTGGTGACCACCCAGAGCAGAGCCAGTAAGTTTCCTGCAATCTTCTAGTCCCACAGTACTGCAGGACTTTGCAGGCAAGTGTTTGGGATTCCCAAGCAGGGAGGGTCAGGCTGTGCTCACGACACCGCCTGATGCTGCTTCAGGCGCCTTTAGATGAGAGTAGGCTGGTGAGACGCAAGCTGCCCCATGTGGGCTGAGCAATGTGAGCAGGCAATGCGTTTCTTTTGTGGTTAGTAAAGATGCTGGCTCTGGTTTGGTCTGTGCTCAGACTTTACCAAGGTGGCAGAGGACCCATGCACTAAAGCAACTATAGTTACTTCAGTCCTGTTATGGGAGCCGGCAAACTAGCTCTGCAATCCAGGAGCGGACTCCTCTGTCTCCATTCCTCCTTGGGAAAATAGGATCAAGTCTCTTCCAGTGCAGGAAGAGACGTAAAGAGTCTGAAAATAGCACGTAAATGTTCCTGGCTGTCAGGCTCACACAGGTTTATAAATCCCTCCCTGGAAGTTTATGAATCTGCTTCTCAGAGCAGAGGGAAACAAACTAGCCACAGCTTCATTTTAATGACAAACACCTACCCCACTGCATTTGCCTGGGAGGAAAGCAAAGCGGTTAAAGGCGAAAGCGGACTGTGCAGGAAGAGAAGGAAGAAAGCACGCCATACAGAAAAGAACAGGATTTAATCCACAACCATGTCAGCTGGGTGCAGTGTGCCAGAGTCCAGAGAGCCTCTGGACAGAGACCAGCCCAAGGTTGCCAATTTTTATATGACTGCCAGCACAGTGCTGTGGAGACCTTTAAAGAGAAGCCACAGCCTGCCTGTCTCGCTCACAGCGAGGGCAGCACTGGGCCTCTGAGGCCCCCGGGCAGGGTGGCTGCCCAGCCCGAAGGCCAGGCTCGCTGCCTGCCCTGAAGGTCAGGCTGCCCGCAGGCTCAGCCGCTTGCTCCCCATGTCCAAGAGATGCCCTCTCCTGGGCACCCAGCGAGCCACATGAAGCGTCACTAACGGGGAGCTTCGGCTTAGGCTGCAGACAGGTTGGAAGTTGTCACTCAGCAGCTGTTCTGAAGAGATGGGAAAGGATGGGAAAAGCGGCATTTCAAAGAGAAGTCCTCTCTGCTTACTGCAGCAGATCGTTGGAGAGCTTTCTTGTACGAGTGAGAGGCGGCACTGAGGGACTGACAAGTCGTCAGGGCTAGCCCCAGAGCTGGCCCTGGGGGATTGCAGAGTCCCACCTCCTAGCACATACTACGAGCATTGACCTCTCCTTTTGTGGGGGGAACCCCACAAATTCTCTGAGCCTCTTGCAACTAACCATCTGTTACACGTACCATCCCGTGCCTCAGTGGGCACACTCCCCCATGGCACACCTTTGCTCGCATGGGAGGAATGTCCTGTTTAGATTTCAGTGAGTTTAGGGAATCCCAGTTTCAGGGCCTTACTGATTCATGCTACTGGAAATACAAATCAGTGTGGAAAACTGGAATGATAAAGTAATCAAACACATTTACTCAGCAAATTGTCCACCCCACTGCTCTCTCAGCAGGACTTC